CCTTAAAAACATAGTGCAGAACTCCTTAAGTAGTGTTCTTTCTTCCATGATAAAATTTTTATTTTCTATGTATGAGCCCATTTAAATTTGGGGGGACATCTACTACATCCACTAAAATTTATGTTTGATTTCCACCTCATTCACATCGCCAGAGGTGTGCGTAATACTAGTGTATCTAAGGAATGATTAAATGTTTATGCTGTAAACAGTGGATGGATGCTAACATTTTCTGGCAATGCATTTGATGTTGTAGGCATGACTACTACAATACTCCTACAGAAGTGGTACTGACTATATTTGCTAAGGGTGTTCCAGCTGACAGCGTGGTTGTTGACTTTGGTGAACAGATGGTGTGTTTCCCTTGCCTTATTCTTGCAAATCAATTGTCATATCACCGTGTTGACTAATCTGGCTTCACATTCTAGCTGAGTGTCTCAATTGAACTTCCCGGTGAGGAACCATACCATTTTCAGCCTCGTCTGTTTTCAAAGGTACCTCCTCATCTCTTTAACCTGTATGTGGCTACTTATGAACACAATGCATACAGTACATGCTGTATCTGTTATGTCACTTGTATGATGCATCGTTTGGTAAGAGAAGGTACCAAGTATTCAGAACATACATGCAAGGCAGGGTGACTCAAGCATAGTTCTCATGTTTTTGTTAGTAGCTAATCTGTAAATACGAATTTATAGGAGATGTATATCGTAAATACAACTTTTAGTACAGAAAATCAATAATTTATTTATTTTCCCTCTCAAACAAGTTCTCCACCCTTATCTAGAACATGAGCGGCACATACAGGTTTCCACATATGTTTATGAACAACTTTGGAAATACATGATTCTGGATATAACGATGAAGCCAGGCTAAACAGTACACCCTATGTAAAGAACTATAAGAATGTTTATAGATCACTAAAGGAGTGATCTAAACGCTCTTATATTTCTTTACGGAGGGAGTACTTTCTTGTTAGTCAGTTACACACGGAGATGGAATGAGGTCTTCTTTATATGATATAATATACTAATTTTGTTTCTAAATCAACTAATTTATTATGTTAATCCTCAAATTTATGTTCTAGGAACAGCAATTGATCTGCTGATAAAGTAGGATATTGTAACTGACAAAGTAAATTGATTGCTAAGGGACCAACTTTTCATGTGGTGTGGAAATACACATGGTCAATAGTTCATTGCCCAGTAGCACCTCCCACAAACTTGTCAGTTTATTGGATATAGTTTGTTTCTCGCTCCATCTGGCAACTTACAGTGATGACTGAGAAGAACTCCTGGATTTGGAGGTTGATTAGGAAATGAAGATAAAACAGTTCTTACCATTGTTCCCTAAATGCATGGAAGTTGTTGAAAATCAATTATGCTCTCTCTATGCAACTGTTTTTACTTGTGGTGGTGTATACCATACTGGGTTGAGCTATTGCACATTCATCAGTAATTTTGTTGTTTTTTGACAATCAGATCGTCCCAGATAAGTGCAAGTATACTGTGTTGTCTACAAAGGTTGAAATGCGCCTTGCAAAAGCTGAGCCAGTAACTTGGACATCATTGGATTATACTGGTAAACCAAAGGCTCCTCAGAAGATAAATGTACCAGGTAATTCCTTGAGGGCTGAATGCGAGCAAAGTTGGTGATTTGTCTAGTGATAACCTTGCTGCTGTGATTGAGCTTTTGTATGGATTACTACTCCCTTTGTAAATTGTGTTCTATAATTTTTTCTTATGAAAGATAATCACTGAAAATATTTTAAACCAGCGCAAATTTATGGTATGTTCCTGACATGATAGTCAACAAGAATATGGTGATTTCTGTACTTAGTGAGAAAGATACTTCCATGCACACTGAGGGTAACAGGTCTTCAAGAAAATTATCTAAAATGCTGGTTGGTGCTGACTCCTAAGCTTGCAGAATGGCTACTATTTCAGTCCCAGGCTGTTTATGTAGCTTTCAAGCTGGCAGAATGGCTACTAAGGTAGTTTTAAGCCTGAACCGTGTATGTGATGCTGGGTTCTTAGATGAAAAGCATACCAGTTCTATACAAAATCTGAGTTCTGGGTTAGTGTTATATTGCATTGTCTTCCATTTGTCACTGAAACATTCCATGTATTCCTTGTTTTGCAGCTGAATCAGCCCAGAGGCCATCTTATCCATCATCAAAATCCAAAAAGGACTGGGATAAGCTTGAAGCTGAAGTGAAAAAACAGGTTTGTGTGTGTGCAGCTTGTATCATCTTTGAGCCTTTCATTTCACTACTGCCCTACTAGCATTGAAGTTTCTCATGATTTTGAGCTTGTTTCAGGAGAAGGATGAAAAACTTGATGGCGATGCTGCATTGAACAAATTTTTCCGTGAAATTTACAGTGATGCTGATGAAGATATGCGTAGAGCAATGATGAAGTCTTTTGTATGTGCTCTCCATCCTCGTGGCTCCCCTTTTGTCAATGGACCTGTGTTGGCATAGCTGGCAAAGGTCACAACTGAGATCATACTACTACTTACTTTCTGAACATATCTGGTGTTGCAGGTGGAGTCTAATGGAACCGTTCTCTCAACCAACTGGAAGGATGTCGGGAAAAAGACGGTTGAAGGAAGCCCTCCTGATGGAATGGAGCTCAAGAAGTGGGAGTATTAATGAATTCAGATCATCCATGTTGTAAATCCTGGTCGGGTCGTGAGTGTTAACTTGGCTGCAGACTTGCAAATCAGTGTCGGTCGGATTATTGTGTGTTGCTCTTGATTCTGTTTCCGTATTTGTAAGCTGTTTGCGTGGCAGGTTAGCTTTTAAGTACTTATCCTAGTTTTGCGAGCTACAGTTGGTAATAGAGTAAGCCATACCTGTGCATCTGTGGTATGGAAGTGCAAAACGTCCGTTGTAACTGGTGCCAAAACTATCATCTGTGAAACGGTGCTATTTTTTGTCTGAATTCTGTGCATCACACTTCATTTTTGTTTGATCACATCGATCGTGAAATTTTATGTGATGATGTGATTGTCTCACAAATTAGAGTCACAGAATTTCCTTATGTGAGAAAAGAGCGGAATCACTGTCGAGGTAGTGGAGCACGATTTACCGAGACCTTATGATATGTGTTTCTACCGTCGTGACCCACAGTACCTTTCGTTGGATGCATGGAAGGTGGAGTTCTTACTAGTTCGTGACTGGTTAGATCAACTCTAGCAGGCCCCGCCCCAGCCTGCAAAATAACCGCTAAATTGCGGGTCGGGGCCGGAAAATCTGCACGATCAGACCCTGCATTCGGAGCGAGATTTGGCGGGAGGGACATTTTCGCGCACCCTTTCCCGCTCCCCGCACCCTCCGCCACCATTGCCCCCCCTCTGCAGGCTCTGTTTCCTCCCCGGCCGTTCCTCGCCGCCATGGACGACCCCATGCTGTCCCCTGTCACCGTCGAGGTCGCGCATGCTCCTTCCCCTCGAGCGGATCTCGTCGCCGGTCATGTTGCCCCCGTCGTCGTCGCCCAAGCACACACCGCGCCTTTCCGCAAGCGGCAGGGCAACGTGGTTGTGCAGGGCGGGAATCCGGCTGCCCCCGCCGTGACGGCCCGCGCTCCGGGCGCCAACGCCGCAGTGCGATCCCGGCCGGCGGCAGAGAAGGCCGGCAAGACCGCGGGCGTAAAGCGGAGGAAGGTTCCGGCTATTCGGAAGCCACCTTCTTCAACCTCTCACTCCACCCCCCTCCCCCCGCAAGGAGGTGCTCCGGCGATGCCGTTCAACGGTGCCGCTCCCCCCGCGAGCGAGGTGTTCGACGAAATGGCCGCAAGGTATGCCTCTTCGGTCTTGACGATTCCCTTTCATTTTTCGCCATTAGTCTCAATAGCTCGTGACTTGTTTTCATTCGCTATAGCGGTGGTTCGAGCAATGCAACAACCGAGTTCGTGAACTTGTTGGAAATGAACGCGGTTGACATTAATCAGGCCCCTTTCGAACCATTCGACTACAATTAAACGGAGGGCGGCGTGGATGATCATGGTTGTGCGGACGAATTGGAGGAGATCGAAGCGGAAGGGTTTGAGCAATCGCAAGCAAAGACTGGGAAAAGCCAAAGATCGAAGAACTACACGATCTTGGAAGATCAAGCTTTGATCTAAGCATGGAGTGCGGTGTCTCTTGATGCATGCACGGGTACTTCTCAAACCGCCAAGAGATATTGGCAAAGGATCGAAGATCAATACTTCCGCATTATGAAAAAGTATCCCAATAGGACTCCACACACATTTCGGTCGCTTCAAGGGCGTTGGGAGAACTAGCACATATGCCCGTGCGTTGCAACGGGAGAGATATTTTCTATGAGAAGTAACGGGAGAGATAATTGATGTGTCCATCAAAAACGATCTCTACAGCGGTGCGACAGAGTAAGAAGTTGTGGTCTTCCCGCGGATCATGTTTGTCCCGCGAGATCATGACAGTAATGAGGTTGGTCGGCATGACGGCGACCACCCAACTCGTGCCTTTTTTTCTCGGGGTCAGCCACCATCTCGGGGTTGTGGCTACCTCCTCATTTGGTAGCTATGTGGTGACATTGTGGCACGGTTGCTTCGACCACTCTCTCCTACGATGGTGTAACCCGGTGGATTACTAATTGTAGAGCATAAATCCTATTTCATTAGCATATTTAGTGCATAACCAGGCATCAACGTCCCTTCTTTATTAGGGTTAATTCTCTTTGATTATTTTAGTGCTCACATGCCCACAACCTTTTTATTCGAGCCAAACCACCATATTCTCTTTAATTGGCACTTTCAAGCTACCACCGGCAATAATTTATGGAGTCCCTCTTTCTGCTCATGATTCTTGAGATAACTTCCTTATTTTGGTACAACCTTCTGATTTGCAGACAACCTATGGACATATAAAAACTGATGGGATTTAGTATAAATTTCCAAGGTGATACTATTCTCATCATATTGCAAGATAGCGGTGTTGGTTTTGTCCATCGGTATAATTCAGAAGGTCAATAGTTCAACCCCATGGGAGCTTAAATATTTTCTTTCTGAGCGGCTTAAATATTTTTTTGTTGGTCTGTCTGACATAAAAAGAAATGCATGAGTAGACCCAGTTCGTCCCCCCAAGGACAAACAAAAAATTCAGGAACTATGTGCAGGCAGAACAAAATCTATACGTACATTTCATAGGAGTATCAATCATTTTTATGTAACAAAGCCTCACTAACTCAGTTGCACCCGCCTGAGAAGCTGGATGCAACGTCGCAAGTTCTATTCTTTAGGGCCGCCAAATATTTTTGGCTCCCTCGAGGAGGATCGATGGGCCGGATGCGGACGGCCCAGTAGGGCAGTGCGACTGAGGTCTAATATAGCTTGTGCGATGGATCATTTTTTTTTTGCTTTTTCTTGGGCTAACTATGTGGGAGCTACTATATGATGCTAGTTAGTGGGACACACATCCTTTCGAGTACGGGCCAGCGCACTGGCAGGCATAAGGACAGCATGTGTTTGTAAGATGCCAGTAAAAATCCCAAAATAAATATGAGTAGAAGGATAGAATTCATGCCCTCAAAGACCTGACCACGTGCTACTACCACTCGAACAAACGAATCCTGCTAAACACTGGCTAGCACGAATATTTAAGAACATACGACAATGTTAGATTAGACTAAATTTCGAAATTTTTTACTTTTCAAAAAATATAAATTTCTGAATGTTCTGGGAAACATGAATATTGTTGGGAATCCCAAACAAAATTTTATAATTTTGTACATTTTTTGAAATACACAACAAAAATTAAAACATTTAAAGTTAAAAACTTTACTTGAAAACATGAACCTTTTTAAAAATATGAACATTTTTTAAATTTGTGAACAATTTTTGAAAATTAAACATGTTTCGAACATTCAGTTTTTTTACGAAATGTGCTTCTTTAAACTCAGACATTATTTGGAATTTAGGAACATTTCACGAAAACAATAATATGTTTCGCATTTGGAACATTTTCTAAAATGCATTTTTTTAAATCTTGAACAACTTCGGAAAACACAAAGAAAATTCTGATTTTTTAAAATTCGAACCAATTTTGGAACAAAAACAAAGAATTAAAGTTGGAGCAATTTTTAAAACAACGTTTTTTTCGAATTCTGAACGTTTTTTTAAAAATATGTTTTTTTGGCAAATTATGATTATTTTTTAAAATATGGAATTTACGCAAAAAAGCAAAAATAAAATAATCTTGAAAGAAAATAGAAAGGACACAGAAAAGAAAAAGATAAAGGAATAGAAAAAGAAAAATGGAAATAAAATACAGAAGAAAACGTAACATTTCAGGCCAGCTTTGGCGCCCTATATAAAACTCCGGCTATTTGTCGGTCATGCGAGATATAGAGCTTTCCCAGTTGCTTGTGCAGTAAAATTAATAGGCTCTGGCTTTGCTGGGCCACAGTGAGGGTGGCCAACGTTTGAAAATCTTCCATTCTTCCTTTTTTTAAATATAGACAAACGGACAATATTTTTGGTACCACCTCGGATAGAAAAAAGCTTTTCAATGGTGAACGGATGAGAAAATTGGAGAAACGCACCTTACTTTGCAAAAAAAAAATATATTTCATATTGTAACATTTTTTAAAATGCAAATGTTTTTAAAAATCTTCAACAATTTTGTAAAATACAATTTTTAAAAAAAATATGGAAACATTACTTTTCATTTAAAAATTTCAGAGTCCTTTCAAGCTAGCTCACTTGCCAATTTATACGTCCTTCGTCCGGCATAATAGATCCATACTTCATACATCTTATTACTACATGTAGTTTCACACACATTTATAAATTGGCACGACTGTATCTAAAGAGCAATATGGGGCTATCTAAAATATTATTACATTGAATTCGTGACCATTTCACTATAACAAGAACGTTTTTCAAATTTGGAACATTTTTGAAACTACAATTTTTTTAAAAAATCTCGAAAATTTTGATAAAATCCTGACATTTTTTGAGTTTTTTACAAATTTGAGAAAGATATTTTTTATGAATATGCGAACATTTTTAAAACAGGAATAAAATTTTAGAATTCTGAACATTCTTCAAAAAGGTGAACAAAAAAAGAAATTCTAAACATTTTATAAAAAAAGTAATTGATAAAAAAGGTAAAAAAACAAAAAAAACTTAAAAATAAAAAAATAAAAGAAAGAGGAAAAAAAGAGAAAGGAACATACAATTTGAATAGAAAAAGAACACAAAAAAAGGAAAACGGGCCGGCCCTGTCCATGGCTATCTGTGTGAAGCTCCGACTATCTGCCGCATTGTGCGGAAAATAGGATTTCCCAGCTGCAAGGTCAGGGAAATAAGTGGGCTGACTTGACTGGGCTATAGAGCGCGGCCCATGTATGAAATTCTGGACAAATCATATTTCTTTTTTCAGCACATGGATGTACAAAAAATTAGTACCACCTCGGATAGTAAAAAAATCTTTTCGTTGATGAACGGATGAAAAAATTGGAGAAACGCACCTTGCTTTATTAGTAGGTATAGATATCAAGCCTATGTGCAGCCGTTGGGCAGCTTGCTTGGAGCAAGTACGCAATGCACCTCCAAGTGGCACCGTGGAGTCCGACTATGTGAGTTTGTTTTTCCTTTGTTCAAGTTATGCATCATCATAATGTATCATGGGAAATGATTGCATCAATTTGTTCACATTTTGTAGGACAAGATTGCCCAACATAGATACAAGGACATGGAAGCTTCGGAAGGCAGATTCTTCAAATTAGAGCATTGTTGGGGTTGCTCCAAAAGTGCGAGAAGTGGAAGTTGATCGACAAAGAATCCCCACCAAAGAAAGGCTCACTTGTAAACATGGATGAAGATGAGGATGATGATGGCCCAAGAAATTTGCACAAGCCCGATGGCAACAAGAAGACTAAAGAGAAGATGAAGAGAGAGCAAGAAGCATGGAGCTTGAGGGAGAAGATTGATGCCATGGTGCAATCAAACGAGTTGATGTTGTTGAAGTCGTTGGAAATCAAGAAAGAATTGACCGAGAAGAAGGCAAACGAGAAGCAAGAAAAATGGCAAATGCTCAAGGAAGAGGGGCTCCGCAAAGCTGCCATTGAGGAGAGAAAAGCACGCGCCTCTGAAAACAAATCGATGTCATTGTTGCTCGCCGAAGAGAACAAGATCATGTCAATGAACCGCAATGACACGGACGACCTCACCAAAACATGGCATGATATGGCAAGGAGAGAGATCTTGAAGATGAGAATGGTCGCCTCGGCCGGTCCGTGTTCCAGTTCCGGCGATGTTTTCTCTGCTCCATATGGTGGCAATGTGGATGATTTCGGCGCGGGAGTTGGAACAAGCGACGGAGGTGGATTCGGTGGCGCCGATGAACTTCAATATGGACTCCATGGCGCGGAGTGAAGATCGACCCCCAAGATGATGCCGGACATGGGCACAAACCTTTGCATGCCCTCTTTTGCGTAATGAACTATGCTTTTATTTGCGCGCAAACTGTTTATGTCGTTTGAATTTGAACTTGTTTGCCAAATCCTATGTCAAATGCGAGATTTGTAGTTTTTCTGTTTGCGGGTCGTCGCGGTGGTGCCCGAGCAGAACCCGCAGAAGCCGACGCATAAAAAAAGCATATTCCGCGAATATACTTTTCTACGGATCCGTTTGGAAGGTCTGCATCTGTGCCAGCCCGCGTTAGCCCGCAAAAATGATTTTGCGCGAACTGCAAACGCGTTTTACGGGCCGGCGAGATGCGAGGTCTGCTAGAGTTGCTCTTAGTAGGCAACCGCCGAGAGGGATCACGCACATCAAACGCCAGGTGCCAAGCTCTTGTTGGCTCGGTGTGGTCAAGGCTTTGCTGAACAACAATTACATGTATATACTACTTCCTCTGTCCCATAATATAAGAATGTTTTTGACACTACATTAACGTCAAAAACGTTCATATATATGAGACGGAGGGAGTATTTTGTAGGCAGCCGTTAACTGGAGCTACATAAGAAATCTTCATCAATTTTGTTGAGAGGGGTCAAGCACAAACACACACATCAAACGCATATACATGGCTTCTTGCCTGCTGCGTGACCCCTCCTTCGCAAATAGGTGAACAAAGGGGCAAAAAAGTTGTCAATCGGTGGTGGCTATAGGTTATAGCTACAAATTTCCTCTCCAGCTATAGCGAGAGCCGTCGTCCCAGGGCGCCATCCTCGTCGAAGACATGATCCAGATCGCCATCCACAGGCGCCAACAACTCGTCCAGGTCCAGCTCCGTTGGCCAGAACTCGCCGCCGTCATCCCCCGCCGCCTCCTCAGTGGTACCGTCCACCGCCATCGACGACATCTCGTTGCTTTCGTCCTCGCACCTCACCGCCTCGTGGGCGTCGCCGTGGCTTTTGGGCGTCGTCGCGTGGCCGTCCGCAGGGGTGGTCTTGTGGCGGGTGGTGCCGGCGAGTGCGTTGATCTGCGTCGGCACCGGGTGGCAGTGGTCGGCCATGTAGGTGATGACGAGCACACCGGGCTTGGCCGGGCTGCGCTCCACCAGTTTCCGGGCCATGCACCCCTTCATGCTGCTACACTTGTAGTATCCCCTGTGACCACAAAGCTAACAAAGTTTAGGAGTATGCAGACCAGGATTAGCGACTACTAGTAATTAAGATAGGTACTGGTACGGAGGAGTACTTGAGTACCTTCCGGAGCATGCGTGTTGTACTGCAAAAGTAGAGGTGGTGTGTGATTGGCCAAAACTTGATGCCAAATTGGCAAGGTGCGCGGCTAAAATCTAGTACTAGCAAGTTCTAAGCATCAGGTCATATGTACTACTACTATACTGTTCGTAATTAGGAGTATATCCAAATGACCAAATGTTTGATGAAATCCGTGTAAATGTTCATCGCATGAGAAATCAGTTATTGCGAATCTATTAATAGAAGGTACTAAGCCGTAGTGACTGGACTAAGCGGTAGTGACTGGACTCAAGGCTATCTGGCTATGCACGGAGTAGCTAGTGCATCGACGAGACGACAGTAACGCGTGGAAACGGGCCGGTGGAGGTGGTTATAGTTAATTACCGGGGATAAGGCGAGCCTTTGATGGGCTTTTGACCGTACTTGCGCCACGCCCAAAGGTCGGAGGAGACGCCGCCGTCGGCCACCGGCACCTCGCATACCACCTTCTTCAGCTGGCTCTTCTTGCTGCTCACCATCACCACCACCACCACCACCACCAAACAAAATCACAATCAGCAGGCTGCAAGCTTGTCCGATCCAAATCGCGCTGCATAAGCGATCGGGCCGGGTGCACAAATCAACTTGGTATATACTACGTACCTTCTTTTCGGGCGCGGGGTGCTGCTTCGTATGCCGGGCTTCCGGCCAGGCGGCACCCGCGGCCGCACGCCGGACGTGGACGCCGCCGCGGGGAAAGAGATCATCATCTCGTGGCGGTCATCCACCGCCGCCCACGACTGCGACGACGGCGCCGACAGCAGGAAGGGCTTGTGATCCAAGTCCAGGTACTCCAGGCCGTACAGCGACGACGCGTCCTTGGCCGCCGATGCGGGCCGGACCACGTCGCGCGGCTCCCGCTTTACCGGCGTGTCGGCCGGCGGCGCCGCGGCGGGACCCGGAGGAGGACCGGCGCGGTCCTCTTCCTGGGGGTGGTGGGAGGAGGAGAAGGTGGCGCAGCTCCTGACGACGGCCTGCAGGTCCCAGTCGTTGAGGTGCTCCATGCGCAGAAGCAGGCCGCACATGAACGGCGACCAGGGATTTGAGCTTGGAGAGGTTTGACGAAGTGAGCTGAGCTAGGTAGGACGCGTGGTGGTGGCCGGCGTGGGATGGGGTTGACTTTTAGCAGTGGCAGGCCGGTCCGGGGAAGCGCAAATATATACGCGTACGCCTGTACATACTCGAGACGCGTACTGGAGTGGCACGAGGAGGATTACTCGATCCCTGTAAAGTCAAAGGCAAGTGGTGGGCACGGCGCGCGCTTCGCAGCAGCAGCAGCAGGGGATAAGAGAGAAGATCGCGTCCGGATTTGAAATGATCAGCTACTCCCCATTGTATATGGAAGCTCTCCATTGTTCGGGGCTCTATGCACTTGTCAAAAGGGCCTTGGCTTCTCCTCCCTATTGTTTTCTTTGACTTTGCTCCAAATGTCAAAAGGGAGAGAGGGCAAGCTAGACTAGAAGAAAAGGGTGGAATCTTTGGATGGAACTCTCTGGCGTCATTAAAGGGGCCGCAGGGGAATATGGAAGCCGCGAATTAACTTTGCGCTTGCTTGACTCTTTATGCCGATCCTATATTATTGGCTGCGCTTGACTAGCCACTTGCGTCAGGCGTCGGTTATTCTGGATCTGACCTTGTGTAAATGTCAAAGGGCAGAGAGAGAGGCGTGGCACAAAATCTCGGCCATATGCGTCAGATCTCTGAACCCGTCCGGGGTATCGCGTGGGCTCCAATCGGCGCGGGGATAAGTGACAAAGCGACGGTGGAGTGGAGGAGAGTCTTTTGGCCACGACAAGGACGCGAGAGGGATCGGCCCTCCCTCGGGAAGCCGGTGGTCGTGCTCGCCGCGCTCCACCGCTGTTGCCGCCGCGCCCGCGCGCTGCTCTTTCTAGTTGCCTACTAGGAGTACTGGTCTTGCCTAGTGCGCGCACGCGGGGCCCGGGCTGCACGCGCCGCGCTCCGCTCCGCCCCATTAATTTTTGGGACGGACGCCCACGCGCAAATTTTGCATCACGAGAGCGATGGACAATTGGAAGATATGGATAACTAAGGGTGCGTTTGGTTATAAGGGTGGTCATGAATGGGTTGGGATCGTTCAAAAAATAAACATGTTTGGTTATAAAGCACATGAATGATTCAAGTCAAAAAAAGAGAATATACCTTGAAGATGCTGAACCATTCCACCCAATCAAATCGGTCGAATCAAATGGCCACGCTTTGCATGCATGACTATGTGAGCATGACTGGTGGTCCCGTCCTAAATAATTAGCTCATCTCTTATATTCAGCCAAACACATGAATTGAATGGTTCAATCCCAAATAAATCGAACGGTCCCAACCCATTCATATGACACCTTCAACCAAACGCATCCTAAGTGTGCCTGCCTGCCTGCCTGCCTTGCGTTGAATGACAGGTACAGTTCGGTCCGTCCACGTTATCGATGGCTGGATGGCTGGCCGATCGCCACTACTGCGGCTGTTAGGTTTGGTTTGGGTGTGCAGTCAGTCATCCCCTCGTCGTGCGTGCTTCCCGTTGAGGGCCGAGTGACACGTGATCTCGGTCCGGTTGCCGGTTGCAATCACCTGTCTGCTCTGCTCTGCTCTGGCTGGTTACATGGCACATCCATCCATCCTCATCATCCCGATCCCTCCCGGTAAGCTGGAAGGAACATAAAGCATGCGCGTGCCCATGCATACAAAAACTTGTGCCCGCCGTCCTCTTAATTATTACCACCACCACCCGTGAAGCTTGTGTGATCGCCTGCATGGTACGTCTAGATATCGAGCCGCATGAAAACCTGGTAAGTACGTACGACTGGAACTCGCTTGCTAAAAGGAGTAGCAGCCAGCCGATTGCAATGTTTCACGACGAGAAGAATCGTTACTCGAAGTGGGCTCGTTACGGCTCTTTCTCTGTCTCTGTGTCTGTCTTTGCACCAAGTGAAATGGTCCATCCATCCCTTTTCTGCGTTGCAATCCTGCAACTTGGCCTAGATGCGACTTGCTTTCTTTAGCGACGGAATGAACGCTAGCTGCTGCTCAACCTTCCTGAGCATTTCGGGAGCAGCGACTGATCAGGGGAGCCAAGGGGCCTCCGTTGACTTGCCCGGTCCGCCGGTTGCCCGCGGCGACGCGTTAGACTGGTCACAATGGGTAAGAACATAAGCTAGTAACTTCACATTTCTCTAGACTATGTTACTACCTTCATAGTGGGTAGGAACATCTATGTAGTGTCATGCAACGATGTATTTATTAGGTTATAGACTCATTGTTTTTTGAAGTGTGTGATGTTCCGGTAACTTAGCTAGTTACCACAAGCACCTCTCTCTTCATTAAATACATGCCACATAAGCAAAGTTGTATTGAAGTGTGTTATGTTATTCCTAAGTTCCTCCCCACTGTGACCAGCCTTACCTTTCACAACGCAGACCCCTCTACACACATGGCTGGAGCAGACAACTCTCCTCTCGGTAATCTGCGTGTCATTAATGTCAGCTAATGCTGCTTTTCAGAAAATAAAATAAAACACTCCCGCTGTATAAGGCTGCTTGTAATATGGAATATCATACTACTCCCTCCGGCCGGGTTTATTGGGCTCCTGAGCTAACAAGCCATGTCCTTTTTTCTAAGGCCCCTTGAGTTAATTAGCTAAATGCTCTTAATTTCCTATGCTCAATGTGCACCCGATTGGTTGAAGACGTGTGCAATTAGCTGCATGCAGAAGCGCAACGGGCAGCCAGCTATACGAAGTAAATGTGGGCATGTGCTTGATTGGCCGCATGGAAAAAGGAAGTGTGGAACCAGCTATAGGCAATAACTGCAGACTAATTTGATTGGTGTTTCCCATGCTTGAAAATCACATATCATTCACATTAATATTTTGTCTTGGTCCACGGGATTTGGCTAAGAGGCCCGATAAACCCAGACGGAGGGAGTACATGCTTAGATAAAATAGATGATGTGGCAAGTAATTAATGAACAAAGAGGCATGTTGTAACATAAACTAGTTAGACTAGCCACACTCGGGAGTAACTAGGAGTAGTAACATGCATGTGTTACTAGTCTATGTTACTATCTTCACAATGGAAAATAACATATGTGTGATGTCATGCATCACTTCATTTATTAAGTTATAGACTTAACTTGTCTTGGTATGTGTGATGTTACTCAGGCTGGTTGTAAGAGCAAGTATAATAGAGCACACTCAGCAGGCTATAAGCCATCACACATCATCTGAATCCCAGCTGGATGAGAGAGAATGAATAAAAAAAGAGGAAGTGGGCGCTTCACTAGTCGCCCGACTACAACACAACAACCTAGGAAAAGTAAGCTGCATGCAGCGACATGATAGCTAAAAAGCAGCTGCTATTTCCTCTCTTCCAATCATATGCGTTTCCTTGCCTCCTTTACATGCAAGCATTGAATGCTACTACAGTCAATCTATTATACTAATGGGCTTTTAGGAGGGCTTTAAGTGACATGGCAAAGGTATATAGCCAGTAGCGGGCTTTCTTATTAACCATGTTCTAATGGAGAGTACCACATCATCTTTTTTGTCTAAATATGTGTGATGTTACCATCTATGTTACTCCCATTGTGGATAGTCTTACTAGTAATATGAGTAACATTACACATACCAAGTCAAGATGAGTCTATAACCTAATAAATTAAGAGTTGCATGACACCACACATATGTTACTCCCACTATAGAGGTAGTAACATAGACCAGTAACATATGCATGTTACTAGTCTAAGTTACTCCCCACTGTGGCTATTCTAGTGCATAGTACTCCCTCCGTTCCTTTATGTAAAGTGTTTTATTTTCGGCACGGTGAACATGGCAAGTACTTATAGATAATATTGAATGAAATTACCCTTGGAAAATTTGTTGGTTAATGGCAAGTAAATCAGTTAATCCAGGTGTTAGAATAAATCTGAGGCCATCGTCGATCATCCGAGGACCAAACAATCACACGAGCACGACACCGAGATTTGTTAACGAGGTTCACCGATATGGCTACATCCCCGGGGCTTGACTACGGGCACTCCTTCCCGTGACACCGTCACAATACTGCACTCGGTCGTCCTGGACGCTGGCACATGACGCCGGCTTTCCCTGCGTTCCTGTGCTATTATGTTGGCATAAGTTACATCGTGTGTCTAGCCCCGCTATATATGAGAGGCCTAGGATACAAGTGTCCTACTAGGACACGACTCCATATCCTATCTAAACACAATACAACTATAAGTACAACTGTAACCTACCTTGTACACTATATTCGACACAACTCCAACAAACTCCACCTTGGCGAATATACTCCACCATCCTGGATTTGTCCATGCGTCAAACTTCCATGTACATTGGACTTGAGCTTATCCCATGAGCAACACTGCTACTCCAAAGACTCCATATGACTCCACCTGCAACTTGTAGTCCCTCCTTTTGTTGACCACAGTCAACACTCAAGCAAAAATAAGTTTCTTGTTACTCTAGTTTGTGCCCCCAACTTCCAGAGTATACATCCAACACAATCACACACTAACCACCGACCGTTGCTTGTAGTCATCCTGAGTCAAATTCGCAGTTGTCTCACCACATGTATGACCACCAGAGACCTGGCCTGTCTCCATGTCCCATGCGCACCGCATGCCTCGCCGCTATTACCACGTCGAGCCTCTGATGTCCCGATCGAGTCTCAAGGTCCGTGAACCCACACCACCCAACCCCCACTGCAGAGTACCACCGATCATCACCTACCGATGACGAGTTTCATGCTTCCATCAGACCACCGGGTTCCAGTCCGAACTACATGTCACCCGCTTTTTTCCCGGTGAATAGGCTTCGATTCTATGGATCCCTACACCATAGCCCCTCAATCCAGCTCCACCTTCAACATGACTCCATGGTAGATGATCAGTCCACCCTCGCACCCCATCGACTTCAAGATCGCATGTGCACCGTCTTGAATCAACCCCACGCCATAGTCTTGTTGAAGCCACACAAGCCCTCGGGCATGTGCCACAT